GTCTTACCCAAACTGACCTAAACACACAAACTGTGTATGTGTATATGTATATGTATGTGTGTGTAGATAGATAAAGAAAAACAAGCCAATGCACACACGCACGCGCACACACACACACGCGCACACACACACACACTCATTCACTCTCACTCACCACAGTCCTGTCAATGCCGCATTGTGCTGGAGACCCCCGGCCTCTCCTGCAGACTCCACGCCCAGACCTGAAGGTGAGTCCCCCAGGCGGAGCTGGGGATTTATGACCTGGATTTCAAATTGGTTCAAGTTCAAAGCTGGCTCAACAGCAGCTGCCACTTTGACCGCCATCCTTCCTCAGGCCTGGCTCCAGGTCGGGTGGTGAGGAGATGCTGAGCATGATTTCCAGAAGGTTCTTTTCGATCTGCATTAGGACGAACCCTGAGATCTCCAGCACCAGAGAGGGGGCTCGGCAGGAGTTTGAGGGTGGGGATGGCCCTACATGGCTGCTGTCTCTCAGCTCATGTGGCCCCTGATATTTGGGGTCTCTGAACTCAAACGGGCAGGAGAACTGGGCCGGCTTCCTGAGTCCACAGAGGATGGGACCTCCGTGCTGGGCACAGGTAAGAGAGGTCACCTCCTTACCTGCTCCTGGGTCACGGAAGGGAAAAACGAGATGTTACGTGTCGTCGGTGCTGAGTCACGGGGCGTTCTTCCTCCTAGGGTGACCTGAGGACATCGGGGACACGCACGGGCTCGGGGGAGCTGGAGGGAACACCAGAGGCTCGGAGGCCCCCGTGCTCACACCCCGGGCGGCCCCAGAAGCAGCGGGCACCCTCCGCTTCCTTCCAAAAGCATTTACGACGGCCTCTCTGTGTGCGCTCTGTGGACTCTGAGTAGGGAGTAAATCGTTTCTGTCCTCACATCCTAGGATGTAACTTGCACACGTGAAGGGCACGCATCTCATGGGCACCGTCCGGGCACGTGCGGTTTTGCATATGTGAACACCTGCGTGACCAACACCCAGGTCAAGAGGGGGAAATGTGTCCGTCCCTCACATGTCCCCCCGCCCCCGCCACTAACCCGAGTAACCACCACCCAGACATTTATCCTCACTGAGACTTCTGCTTAAAGACACACTCAACATTCCTCTTTTTGCCTAAAGACAGATAGAGAACAACATCAATGGCATCACACAACACGTGTTCATTTGCATCTGGCTTCTTTTGCTCAGCGTCATATTCCTGAGATTTGCCCATTTTGCAGGGGGTCTTTTTCCTTGCTGTATAGTATTCTTTTGTATGCATATACCATAATTTGCCTATCCATTTGCTACAGACTAAATGTTTCTGTCTCTCTTCACCCCATTTATGTTAAATCTTAACCCCCAAGGTGTTGGTACTAGGAGGCGGGGCCTTAGGGAGGTCATGAGGTCACAAGGGTGGAACCTCCCCCCCCCCATTGGAAGAGGCCTGCTAGAGCTCGCCGGCCCCTTTCACGTGCAGACTGAGGAGATGGCTGTGTCTGAGCCAGGAAGCCGTCCCTCGGGGGACGCTACATCCCATCCGCCTTCCAGCATCGGGAGAGCAATAGTCCAGAGGGCAGGGGTCAGCGCCGGAGTCTTTCCCACGGGGTTCCGTGGGGCCTCGAGTTTGGCAGAGAGCATCTGAGGGTCCCCATGCGTTGCCCGCCCCTCCCCCTCCCCCGGCAGGGCCTGGCAGTCCTGAGCGAGGGCCGGCAGAGCAAGAGGCCTCGAAGCGAATGAAGAGGGGGAACAGACGGGTCCCCTAAACTGTGGGGGCAGTAACCTAGTCCCTATGGAGAATGGAGATGTCTCAGCGAATGCCAGGGACCTCCTAGATCTCAAACCCAAGCCCATGGAGGAAGGTGAACGGAAAGCATGAATCACCCAGGAATATTCTGATTTGAACAAATCGACCCCCAAACTGCCTGACATTAAAAATGGCAGATTGGGAGATTGATGGAGAAACTGAGTTACAGCAGAATAAATTGATTTTGGGGGGTGGCATGGCCGGGTTTGTGAGCTGCAAGGGGTCACCGGCCTACAGAACCCAGGGTCCACCGAGCCCCGACACGCTGAGCAGACGTGGAGCTCAGGGGTGACCGAGCGAAGGTGGCCATGTCCAGCGGCCCAAATGCACCATTTCTTCTGGCCCAGGCCCAAGCGCCATTTTATGCACTCGATACCTGCTGCTCCCCTCAAGCCTCACAGCGATCCCATGAGGTCAGAGCCAGTGGTACCCTGTTTATGGGAGGAAAAGCTTTAAACAAGATGAACAGGGTCGTTCAGTTGGTAAACGGCAGAGCCAAGTGTCGCATGAGGCCTGTCCAGGCCTCCCTCCCAGGACACCAAGCCCCACGGACGCCCTGCCCTGGGCACGGCCCCCCACGCTCCCTCTCACACGTCGGCACAGCAGAGATCTCTCCGGTCCCACAAACTTCATCTAGACCTAGGCGGGCGCCCCTTACGTCCTGGGCATGCGAGATCCAGGCCCGCTCTGCTCACCTTCATCCGGCCGTGGTCATGTCTGTGTGGCTTAAACGACAGACCTTTCCGTCTCAGGGTGCTGGAGGCTGGAAGTCGGAGGTCAGGGTCCAGCGTGCTCGTGGCAGGTTCTGGGGGGGCCCCGTCCTGGTCATTCCTTGTTTTCTCCTCACCCTGTGGGGGGAGAGAGAGAGGGAGGGAGGCAGCCGGGGGCATCTTTCTCTACTGCCCCTCCTCATCGGGGCGCCAACCCATCACGGGGGGTCCGTGCTCCCCACCTCCTAACACCATCACACTGGGGGGTTGGGGTTCAGCCTGTGAGTTCTGGGGGATCTGAACCTTCAGTCCGCAGCAGTCACAGTGAGAGGCGGTAGCTGAGTCCTTCAGGATAATTGCCGAGGGGCCTTTGTTTCGCCCCCTCTTCTGCACTAACTGCCGGGGAAGGAGGCGGAGGGAGACCCCAGCACTCACCACAGCGCCCCCGGGCCACCCCCTCAGCGGGACAGCGAGGTGGACGCCGGGCTGGACGCCCCCCACCGGTGTGGGGTCCTGGAGCTCGCTTCGCCCTGTTCTTTGGTGAGCCCTGGGCCGGGCCCCTCTCCTCCCACGGGAGACCAAGTCTGGGAGGCCGTGGGAACCGCCCTGTCCGCCGCCCACTCCCCCGGCCTCTGCGGGCCTGGCCTCGCCGTGGAAGCCGGCGAGATAAACTCCTACGTGTCGAAACTCACTCCCGCGTGAGGACAAATGATTGCGCCCCCTCGAAAAGAGATGTCGAGGTCCCAACCCCAGGGCCCCGTGACTGTGACTTCGTTTGTAAATAGGGCCTTGCAGACGATCAAATGAGAATGGGGCCCCACGGGGGCAGGTGGCCCTGGTCCCACCGGCTGGTGTCCCCATGAGGAGGCCACGCGAGACAGAGGCAGCGAGTGTAGACATGTGTCTACGGGCCGGGGACCGCCGGGCAGTGCCAGCCACCCCCAGAGTGATCCAGAGCCCAGCTCGCCACGCGTGGGTGGGGACACGCCCTGCTCTGTGTCTCTGCCGCTGGGACACCGTGTCAAGCGTGTGGTTGGGGGACAGTCAGTGGCATTCCCAACCTCTTGAAAGCCACAGAGCCCTCCTCATTGGTGTGACCAAAGGCGCCCAGCCTCCCTCCCACACAAAAGCTCCTCGTTCCTAAAATAAAAATTGTTTTGTTTTCAGGTGAGCTGGGATGAAGGGGGAGGGGCTGCTGCCGCAGAGTCGGTAGGGTGAGGGGGAGGCTCCTGGCTCTGGGGGACCCAAGAGGGCACAGCCAACCCCTTTAACGGGACCCCAGCCTCTGCTCCCCAGGCAGCCGAGGCTGCCCGTGCCTGTGCAGGAAGCGCCATGGCAGTGCCCAGGGCTGGGTCCCCACTCGTCCCCAGCTTCGGCCCTGAGCCGTCAGGCCGCGATTCCAGCCTCGTGTCCCCGGCGAGGTGGGAGCTTGGCCCTGGGGCGACCCCCGTCTCCCCTCTCCCTGGACGGAGCTCCCCCTCACTCTCCACGGCCTGGCTTTCTGGCTTTTTAATCTGAGGTGGGGATTCTCTTGTTTCCTCCTGTGGTGGCATGGCGCTGAAATGCTCGCTGTCGCGGGGTGAAGGGGAGAGGCCACTCTCCTTCGGTGACCTCAGACATCCACGGGGCGCTGAGGTGGAAGGGGAGGTGAAGACGCTGCTGCCAGTCGGGGCTGGCTGGAAAGAGCACATCACGGCCGGCACGCTCACTCTCAGCCTGTGGCGGATGGACGCACAGAAACGGGGACGGAGACGGACAGGGACGGCCCGAGAGCGGGGTTCGCGGCCCAGTGCCTCCACTTACGGCCTGACTCTGAACCTCAGTTTCCTCACCTGTAAAATGGGGGCAACACGTGTCGATTGTTTACTGTTCTCTTCATAGTGGCGACTGTCAATGTCCTTCGCCCTTATCACCTGTGCGTAGGGGAACAGGGCTTCTTTCTCGAGTTCCCTTTGACGTGTGACTGTGGATTTTGCATTTTTCTTAACTGGATAGGTGTTGCTCTTATATTGGGGGAGAAAGCATCGTTGAAAGGAGGGAGGAGCTCAGATTTCTGGAACCCCCAAAGCATGGGCTGGCTGGCTACACATGATGAACACGAGAACGAACTTATTCCTCAGCCCCGAGAGAGCTCCCTCCTACTGAATAAGCGTGACAAGCCTTGGGGGGGCGGGGGGCGGGGTGAGCAAGGAAGACAGGTGTCAAGGAAAATATAAGGCCTGCTGGGGAGTTTGGGGCCCGGGGCTGCCTCCGAGATGTTTATATTCTGAATTTCAAATGCCTGGACCGATGGTTTCATATAAGTTCTTGGTGGGGGGCAGGGGAGAGAGAGAGAGAGAGAGACAGAGAGAGAAGGAGGAAGGGAGGGAGGTCTCCCAGTTAAAGACTTGAAGAATATTAAGGTCACTGTCAGTGCTGGGGCCCCCGGAATGTGTTGAGGGGCCTGGGGCAGGGAATGTGTTGGGGAGCCTGGGTTGAGGCAGCAAGAGGGGGCTGGAGATTGAATTTCAGCCTGGTTTCAGCCCTACCTTGCCGGAGACCGCGGGTGTGTCCGGGGTGTGTCCGTGCTCGGCACGCAGTGACCCCCGTGATTGATGCCTGTCCCCCCCCGATCCTCCATCCTCCGAGGGCCTCGCCGCCTCGTCTGCTCGGTTCGTCTTGCCTCCTCCCACCCCGATCTTCTCTTCTGCGTTTGCCGGACACGCTTTTGCCTCTCTGTGTTTCCAGCCTTCGGGCGTCACTCGGTTCGAGGCGTGTCCCTTATCCGCAGCGCATAGCGGGACTTGGGTTTTACGAGCCAGCAGTAGAGTCTGTCTTTGCGTCTGTCATTCAACCAACTCATCTTTATCCTCCCAGCGAGTGCGTCCCGTGCCCCGTTTCCTCCTCGCTTTCATTTCTGAGGCTGTCACGCCATTCCCATCATTCCAGACTCTTTCACAAACAAGTGCTATTTTCTTCTTCTTCCTTCTCGTGAGGTAAAAGATGTAAAATGGCTTTGGTTATACTAATGTTAGCCTTTAAATGCAAAACATTCGGGTCTCTATAATTATCACGGTCAGGAATGAAATGATAGCCATGTGAATGGAGACGAAGAATGTTCCCCAGTTTCCACCTTCTGCCCGCTCCCCGTTTCTGTGTGTGTGCAAACTGCGGTTTTAGAATATGATTCGTATTTTTCAAAATGTGATGAGATCTTTTTCTCAATCATAGTTCTTGACATGTTTGATTTTTGTGCCACTGACCCCTTAGACAGTTTGATGGACCCCCTGGGTCCCTCTGTAGAATAATGTTTTTAAGTCGTTACATACAATACGGCAGTTTGCAGAGATAATGCACGAAAACAGTATGACATTAAACGGACGTAATTCTCTACAGATGCGTTAAATAATGCGATTCCGCAGCCGTCTGGAACTTCTGGAACCTCGAAGTCACGACGGGTGTGAGTGAGCGCTAACCGTAC